TTTCTGTTGTAATCTTTATTATTTTCTTCATTCTGCTTGCTTTGGGTTTAGATGTCTCTTTTTTTAGTTTTTGAAGGTGGAAGGCTAGGTTATTGATCTGAGATTTTTTTCAATATGGGAGTTGACAACTGTAAATTTCCCTCGAAGCACTGCCTTCACTGTGTCCCGTAAGTTTTGTATGTCCCATTTTTGTTTTCACTCATCTCAAAGTATTTTCTAGTTTCTCTTTTAATTGCTTATTTGACCTATTGGTTATTCAGGAATGTAATGTTAAATTTCCCAAATTTACTTACTTCTGTTGTTGATTTCTGGTTTCATTGTATTGTGGCCAGAGAACATACTTTGTATGATTCAGTCCTTTTAAATTTATTGACATTTGTTTTATGGATTAACATATGGTCTATGCCAGGGGTCGGCAAACTTTTGAGACAGAAGAGCCACCAGGGGTCTGCAAACGGCGGCTCGTGAGCCACATGTGGCTCTTTGGGTGCGTACATGTGGCTCTGAAGTAAAATTGAAAATGAAAATAAAACTATCATCATTTCATTTATAATGTTACTTTAAATTTTCCTTATTTGTAAAAATATATTTATGGCTCTCGAATAATTTTTAAATTCTTGTGAGGGGCAGGATTGGCTCTTCCAGGGGCCGGCAAACTTTTGAGACGGAACGTACCCAAAGAGCCGCATGTGGCTCGCCAGCTGCAGTTTGCTGACCCCTGATCTATCCTGAAGAATGTCCCATTGCACTTAAGAACAGGCACTCTGTGGTTGGGTAGAGTGCTCTATGGATGTCTCTTATGTCTAGTTTGTTTACAGTGTTTTTCAATTCTTATATGTCTTTGTTGATACTCCCCTTAGTTTTTCTATCCATTATTGAAAGTGGAGTGTTGAAGTCTCCAAATATTATTGTTGAACTGTGTTACTTCCTTCATTTTTATCAGTTTTTGATTTATGTATTTTAGAGTTCTGTTGTTAAGTTAATGTGTTGATAATTGTATATCTTTGTGATGGATTGATTTTATTATAAAAATAACCTTTTTCTCTAGTAACAATTTTTGTCTTAAAAGTCATTTTATGTGGTATTAGTATATAAATTCCAGCTCTCTTTTGGGTATTGCTTGTGTGGTAAATCTTTTTTCATCCTTTTACTTTCAATCTATTTGTGTATTTGAATCTAAATTATGTCTTTTGTAGATGGCATATAGTTAGATCATGTTTATTTATTCTGGCAATCTGTCTTGATTGGAATACTTAGTCCATTTACATTTAATGTAATTACTTATAAGGAGCATTTATGTATGCCTTTGGCTGTTTGTTTTCTGTATGTCTTACATCTTTTTTGTTTCTCTTTTCCTGTAGTACTGCCTTCTTTTGTTTTAAATAGATATATTTTCAGCATACCATTTTAATTTCCTTGTTTCTTTTGCCATATTTTTTGAAATTTTTTCTTTTTTCTTTTTTAGAAATTTTATTGGGGAACAGTGTGTTTTTCCAGGAACCATCAGCTCCAAGTCAAGGAATTGTTTCAATCTAGTTGTGGAGGGCGCAGCTGCTTGGCCCATGTGGGGATCGAACTGGCAACCTTGGTGTTATGAGCCTGTGCTCTAGCCAAGTGAGCTAAGCAGCCGCTTCTTAAGTTTTTTTTTTTAATGATTGTCCTGAGTATTAAAATTAACATCTTAAAACAATCTAATTTGGATTAATACCAACTTAATTTCAATAGTGTAACAAAACTGCTCCAATATAACTTAGTTCCCTCTTTTTTTCTTTGTATTATTATTTCACACAAATTATATCTTTATATATTATATGCCCATCAACACAGTTTTATGCTTCAAGCAGTTGTCTTTTAAATTAGACAGAAAAAAAGAGTTGCAAGCAAAAATACACGTATGCTGTCTTTTATATTTACCTGTGAAGTGACATTTACTGGTGTATTTTATTTCTTCATGTGGATTGAGTTGCTGTCTAGTGTCCTTTCATTTTGGCTTAAAGCATAGAATTTCTTGCAGGGCAAGGTGAGTTGCCCTATAATATAATGATGAGTTATATTTTGTTTGCTGGAAATAGCTTAATTTCTCCTTTATTTTTGAAGGATAGTTTTGCTGGATATACAGTTATTGGTTGACAGTTCCTTCTTTTGGCAATTTAAATATGCTATTCCACTGCTTTCTGACCTCCATGATTTCTGATGAGAAGTATAGAATCCCTGTGCACAATAGATCTTTTTTTTTTGATGCTTTCAAGATTCTCTCTTTGGCTTTCAACAGTGTAACTATGATGCGTCTAGATGTGGATCTCTTTGAGTTTATCCTTCATGGAGTTTGTTCCGCTTCTTTGATGTGCAGATTAATCTTTTTCATTAAATTTGGGGCGTTTTTGACCATTATTTTTTTAGATATTCTTTCTACTCCTTTCCTTCTCTCATTCCCTTCTGGAAACTTGCATAATGCCTATATTGGCCCCCATGGATGGTGGTGCCCCACAGGTATCTGAGGCTCGGTGAATTTTGTTCATTTTTGGTTTATTTGTTTATTTATTTTTTCCTTCATTTTTTTCTTTCTCAGACTGAATAATCTTAATTGACCTTAAGTTTGCTGATTCTTCTGATAGCTCAAATCTGTTGTTGAGCCTCTCTAGTAAACTTTTTGTTTTAGTTATTGTACTTTTCAACTCTAAAATTTCTATTTGATTTTTTAAAAAGTAATTTATATCTCTTTCTCAGTATTCTCCACTTGGTGAGACATTGTGCTCATCCCTTCCTTTATTCTTCAGACATGCTTTCCTTTAGTATTTTGAACATATTTATGATGGCTGATTTAAAGCCTTTGTTTAGTAAATTCTAACATCTGGCCTTCCTCAGGGGCAGTTTTTATTGACTGCTTTTTCTTTTTGTATATGGGTCATACTTTCCTGTTTCTTTGTGTGTCTCATCATTTTTTTGTTGAAAACTGGCCTTTTAAAATAATGTGACAGCTCTGGAAATCAGATTCTCCTCCCTCTAGAGAGTTCATTTGTTGTTATTGTTGTTACTACAGCCATTTGTTTAGTGGCTTTTCTGGACTAATTCTCTGGTTTGTATTCTTTGTCGTGTATGACCACTGAAGTCTCTGCCCATTTAGCTTAGTGGTTACCTAGTGATTGGACAGAGGTTTCTTTAAATACATTGAACCAATAAGTCTTTTGCTGAAGTATACTCTATATGTTGGGGCATGCCTCCAACATGCCAACAATTTACAACTCTGCTTTAGCCTTTACTTTCTGCTTGTATAGAGCCCCAAGGTTTTCCAGAGTTGGGAGAGTAGGGCCTTCTCAGGACTTTCCTGGGCACACACACACAGCCTTACACATGCCCATGGCATTCTTGATTTTCCAGAAATATATTGGAGCCTTTCAAAGCCCCCTATGGACATCCCATTCCCCAGGTTTTCCTTTTAAGCCTTTTGGTCATTCTCTTTTTAGTCCCAGTTGGCAATGCTCACTTGGGCAGCTGCAGTGTTCAACAGTTGCCCCTTAATTGTTTTTGACAAATGCCCCGGAGATAGGACAGGGCCAAGCTCTGCATCAGGTCAGATAAAGACAATCCTCCAGAATAGGGCCTTTTAGCAAGCTGCCAGACAGGTCAAATGGTGACAGCCCTCTGGGGATGGCACTTTTTGGGGAGCTGTAAGCGCACCTGGCCCCTCCGGCTGGTTTATAGCTGCTAGTTTTTACAGCTACCATAGTTGCAAGGCTGCTGACTTTCAAGGCTACCATGGAGCTGGAGGAGGAGGATGGGGTTAGTGTAAGTTAAAACAAAAGTTGCACTTCTTACCAAGATTCTGCCATTTTTTTTCTTGAATAAATGCTCCTCAGAATGTTGCAAGCCTTTAATTTCCCGAGTTCTGAAAAAGTTGATTTTGGAAATTTTTGGCAGCATTCTTGTTGCTTTTTTGGAGAAGTAGATTTTTGGAGATCTTTATTCTGCGATTCCAAAGGTTAACTCCCTATCGGTTCTTCATTAAACAAGGCATCCTTGTACGGTGAGAATCTGCCATATATATGCTGGGTGCTGTCTTATTTTGCCTCATGTTTTCTCTTCTTGTCTGTGTATTTGATGTCTTGAAGTGGCCCCAACGGATGTTAAGGAGCACAGGTTACTGTAAGCCACTGGTCACAACTCTTACTTTATTAGAAGTGAGTCGGATGCATTGCAGACCCAAGATCCTGTGGATCTGCTGGATCAGTTTTTCATCTTAGCAGAGTTCATCATTTTCAGTCTGCCCAACTTTGTGCATTATCCTGGGATGAAGTAAATCCATCATTCCCCTAAGTTAGGGCTGGAAGGCAAAGTTCTAATAGCTAAAACGGCCGTTTCCTCCGGATACTGTTGGGATTTGAAATTCAGTCCAGACATAACATTAATTTCTCCATATCAGATCCTACAGTCCTGGTTAACAGCTTGAGTTTTCTGTTAAAATTTTTTTAATCTGCACATTTAAAATCTTTTAAGTTTTCACACTTAATATAAATTTGAATTTCTCATACACAGACGTTTTGAGTTATGGATATTTATTTTATTATAGTTTTTTATTTCAGAGGCCATTGGTTTCCAACTCTATAAGATGGAAATACAAGTGCCTGCTGGTAAAAAGTAAAGCGATTCTGTTCTGAAAAGCTATGTATGATTGTATATCTATTAACATGTTACAACGTATATTTTTTGCCTTTTATGTATTTATGCATTTTTGTCTCTTATATGTTATGTAATAATTTAACCAAGTAGTCTAAAATGTGATATTAGTTGGTAATACAACAATTTTGAAATCTTGAAAGATAAAACTGGAAACATTTGCTTGGGTTTTTTTTTTTTTTTTTCCACCTCAGAGTGTTTTGTTAATGAGGCATTTTATACTGCCATAAACCCAGGGCAATAATAAAGGTGTTGATTGATTTTTGGATGACAAGGGGCTTCTCTAATTGCAGAATCTGACATGTGTGTCACTTCTGCTGTTTTAGGTGAGCAAGACGTGGAAGGTGATTGCAGAAGATGAAGTGCTCTGGTACAGGCTGTGCCAGCAGGAAGGGCACCTTCGCGAGAGCAGCATCTCTGATTATTCTTGCTGGAAGCTCATCTTCCGAGAGTGCCGAGCCAAGGAACACATGTTAAGAACCAACTGGAAGGTAGGCAGTGGCCAATATCATGCATTACCTGTAGAAGACTAGCCTCCAAGGACAAGGGAATCCAAGCCTGGGATTAAACACCGGTGGTCCTTCCAGTTACAGCCTGAGGTTACCTGCCAGCAGCAGAGAGAGGCGAGCGTGGTGAGCGTACGTTCAGCCGCGGGTGACTTGTTGCCCATTTTGTTCGCCATTAGGGTATCTGCCCCGTTTCCAGTCGCACCATTTGGGAGCACCCTGTCGTTCTCCAGGAGAGGAAGAGCGAGGTTGAGATGCCAGCCACCTACCCTCTGATGCTTTTGGGTCTTTAGCGTAGTGCTCGGTGCAGCCCCCTTTCCCTTTCACCACCTCCCCGGATGGACCGGGAAAGCCCAAGTACCACCTGACTGCAAAAGGGGAGCTGAAGACGCCGTTTCCAGTAAATGTGCAAGGGAGACTATTAAACATCTCTAAATACTGTCTCCTCTTCCCTCACATAACCCACTGGCTGGCTTCCATCACATTTATCACTTCAAAATCTGTACAGAAATATTAGATCACAGCTAAGAATTTGCACAGTGAAGTGTTTGTGTAGGAAATAACTGTCAAGAGCTGTGTTACATAAAGCTGCTCGAGGCATGGCGAGATAGCCGTGTGGTGGCCATGTTTCTTCCCACCTGGGGAGTGGGATATTCGGTTGTGTGGAGGGGCTAGAACAGTACTCTTACCACTCCTGTAAAGGTCAGTCCCAATAGACTCTGAGATGAACAAGTTTTTGCTCGTTGCCGGTGGTGACATATTGCCTGTGTGCATGTCTGTCTCCAGTCACCTCATAACCTGATCAGTGACTGATGCTCTTGATCTGGGCAACCTCACACAGTTTCTAGCAAAGTTAATAAGAGCAGTGGTTCTCCAGGTCAGAGTTTCTTCACCCCAGCACAAGTGACATTTGGGGGCAGATAGTTTTTTGGCAATGGCCATGCTGAGCCGCTAGCCTGCCTAGCCTCTGCCCAGCAGATACCAGCAGCCGTCTCTTTCTGCCCCTCGCTGTGACAGCCAGAAATGTCTTCAGACATCCTCAGATGTCCCCTGGGGGGCAACATCGCTCCTGGCTGAGAACCACCTTTCTAAGGAGCATTAGCATGGCTGCCCTTTGTTGGGCCATTAAGACCCCACCACGCAGTAAAAGCCCCACCGGCCCCCAGTTCGCATCCTCACTAGGTGATGCACTCGTGTAGAGGCCCCGGCGGCCCTCTTGTCTGTGTGCTTGAGTAGGTTTGTGTGGGTGACATAAGTGGGAGGCAGGCATGAGGGATTGACCAAGGTGCTTAGACAGGCAGGGGGGCGGGAGAGGGGGCAGAAAGCAGAGGGTGTAACCCTGGTAGAAGGGGCTGTCACTTAAGGAAAGCCTGACAGTTGGGCAGTAAGTAGGGCCTTTCTGTCTGGGAAGAAGAGAAACTTTTGAGAATTGTGGGCATGAGAGCTAAAGATCTTCCCTGTGTCCTGGCTCGAATTTAGACATGTCAGCCCCGGAAATAGAAAGCAGCAGCCATGTTCTTTGTTTTCTCTGGTATTAGAGAAAGCGAGGGAGGGAGGCAGGTACATCTCCCTCATCTGGGCTGGAGGTGACAGAGTGAAGGTGTTTAAAGACCCGCCTCAGAGCACCTGACACTTAATAACGGTATACAAGCTACATGCACTTGAACCCTCCGTCGGGCGCAACTGGTCTCACAGATTCATTGCACACAAAGATGCCACTATGAAGTACGTTTTTACTGTACTAAGTCACAAACACGACTGGCGATAGGTTACAGTAGAGGGGGAAGATACGGAAGCGATGAGTCACGATACTTGAGTTAACTTAGATATTTGAAAATTTGTGTGCAGTGAATCTGTGAGATCAGTTGTGCCCGACAGAAGGTTAATTGAACATCTTACTAATATTCGTTTTTTCTAACAAGCACAAAGCCATGTGTTTGGTAAATGATCAATAAATGGTTGTCAGTTGAATCAACTGGAGTCAAACTGCAGGCAGGATGTGAGGGAGGCTTTTCTTTGGAGTGTCTCGGCCCGTTTCCTGACCCTGTTACCAGTGAGGACTGCATGCGTGAAATATCAAATGACAGATACTGCATGGACGCTAATGCTGGGATTCTTGTTGGGATTCTAGAAAGTCCTATGAAAACATGAAAGGTAGTGTTAGAGCAAGTTGCTTTCCTTTTGTGTGCCTTTGTTTTCTCATCTCTGAAGTGGGCCCAGAGCAGCCCTGCTCAGAGGGCTGTGGGGAGGATGACTATAACGATACATCTACTGCTCCTCCTCAGAGCAGGGCCCAGGGCTGGTGCTCGCTTAGCGTTGGCCATAGAAGCCCACCAGCCTTTGCATGCAGGTACTGTGGTTTGGTGCTCTTGGTGCTCGACTGGGCAGGTGATTCGGCTTGGTCAGGGTCTGGGGACCCCGAGAAGGGGGCTGCCCTGTAAATGCATGAAGTTACTTGGATCTGCATTTCAGAGCCAATGTAAAAACCTGTAATAAGCTGATTGTAATGTAATGACAGGAGTATTCCTTTTCCTGGCGTTTGCATAAACTCTTTCCACTCTGGCCTTGTAGTATTTCTCTACAACCGACCCCGACCAGAATACCAGGGTGGGGTTAGAGCCCATGTGGTTGGGAGTGGGGACCAAGTGACAGAACTTAGTAAATGCCATAAGCACACAGGTTTTCCTCTGGGGCCCCCTCCTTTTCTCTCAGTATCTCCTCTCTCAGAAGAGCTTTGCTATTCTTGTGATTTTGGCTGTGTCCTCCCCCACAGTCCTTCCCTTCCACACCCTCTCCACTAGCAAGGCAGCTCCACTTGGCTGTGTCCAGTTTTGCCCCTCAGCCTTGGACTTGGCCTTCAAATTAAGTGAGATCATCATGCAGGTTATCTTGCATAGTGCCTAGAATATAGCTGCTTAATAACTGTTGGTTTTAATGGACTGGATGTCGTTATCTGCCTGCTAATAATATAAATAGTAACAATAGTAGCTGCCATTTATTGAACACTTTCTGTGTGCTAACAACCGTGCTTGGCACTTATACGCACTGTTTCTAATCCTGGGCCAGTCCAGCGAAGTTGAAATTATGGATTCCTTGGTATTCTTGAATACCTTTATTCATGCTTACTTTTGGCTTAATGATCTCACTCTTCCTGGTATCCCACATGTAAGTACTTTCTGTTCCTACAGCTTCCCTTTATTTTTATTTTAAAAACAAATGTTTTATGTGCATATTTTGCATCGATAATAATTGTCCTGGTACAAATAATTCAAAAGTCACCAGAGGGCATTTAGTGGAAGCTACAGTTTCCTTCTGCCTCTTTCCACCTCCCACCTGGTTCCCTCCTCAGGACCAACCAAAGCTCTGGGTTTTAGGGTTTCCTTTAAATACTGTTTCCGTGGGCCGGCCGAGTGGCGCGATGGTTAAGAACTGGCTTGGGACGCCAGAGGGCCCCAGTTCGGATCCCACATATGAGGGCCAGTGACACTGCCCTCCGCAGCTAAGATGCTGAACAACAGCTCAACCTGGAGCTGGGCTGCTGTGAGTCGCCTGCGATGGCGTAGGCTGCAGCCCCTGCTGCAGTGGGTTGCCATGGACTACCATGTGTAGCCAGCAGCCAGCGTGAGCAGCCAGCAGCCGCAGTGAGCGGCCGTCCAGAAGCCGGCGACTGAGGTGCCTTGCCTGGGAAGAGCGCAATGATGGTGCCAACTTGGGCCAGTGAAGCAACGTCCTCCACAACTAGACTTGAAGAACAAAACGACAGCAACTTGTCTGTTCCCCTTCCCCCAATTCCCCAGCACTGTTCCCATCCCCCCAATTCCCCAATTAAAAAACAAAACAAAAAAAAACTGTGTCCATGAATCTCTGACCCTTCAGTCAGAAATCATGTCTTCTCCATCCTTTTTCCTGTCCCGATTTTTCCTCTTTGTGTACTTTTTAATTTTATCCTGAGGGTTGTTTATAAGGGCTGTCAACAGGTCAAATATCATTAAGTGCTTTCTCTTCAGATAATATCAGCCTTCTGTGGATCGTAGTTATTTGTGCTCCCATGTTTCCTCGATAACCCGTAATCCACTTGGGGACAGGGACAGCATCCCACACACACCCGTGCCCTCTAGTTCAGTGCTGTTCACGTGTGTGGTAACCCATAAATGCTCATAGCCTAACATATGAGTTGTCGCCTTTGTCCTTTTGAATGTCCAGGTAAGTCTGAACACAGTACCTGCCATAAAAAATCGCTATGGAACGTTGGCGAAAGGAAATGCTTTGTCTTCACCCACCCCAAGAATGAAATAACCCGCACCCCCTTTCCTTACGCAGACTCGCAAGGGCGCCGTGAGTGAGCTGGAGCACATCCCCGATGCAGTTTTGTGTGACGTGCACTCTCATGATGGCGTCGTCATTGCCGGGTAAGCAAAACCAGGTTTTCCTTTCCTGCTCTTTGTCATCAGGTCTTTCGTTTTCCACGCACCGCCCTCTGCGTCCCAGTGGCCTTCCCGTCCCCGAGAGCACTCACCCTCCCAGGGGTCCCTGGGGCCCTCATTGGAGAGGATTCTGTCCTTCAGCACCTGAGAGCTCTGCAGTCAGTGGTGAGAAGCAAGTGCTGGCGAGCAGATCTGTAATCCATTTGTCTCAATCCATCTGTCCTGGCTTTTAACCCACTCTCGTGGCAAGTTAGGTTAGATTTTCATTAAGGCACACAGTTTATAGTTTATGAAGACATAAAAAAGTCAAGCAAGAATAATAAGTGTTGGCACGAAGAGGTCCTGCTCTGGTTCTCTTGTTCTGAAGCTTTCATTATGAGGAAGGACTGTGGCCACACACAGCTGTCCTTTCCCGTCACACAGTACGGACTCGCTGTTTAACTTGACCTGAAATAGGTTTTTTTGTCTCTGTAGCCAAGAAATTTAATTTGAGCTTCTGTAGATTCCTTTGGCTTCTGTTCCAAAAACCACTTTCATGAATTCTTCATAGTTTACTACCAAGATGTGTTTATATATTTCCTTAATGTATAATAAGAAGATAAATTTTCTTTTTGGATGGAGGTGTCTTGAACTAGAGTCTCAAGTTATATTCTTAATGCTGTACAGTGGAGACCAGGACACTTAAGCTTCGGAGTCTGGGCTGGCTTTGGAATAAGCCACCCAAGAGAGGTTCCTGCTTGGAGAAAAACAAAAATAAACCTTGGACTTAATTTAGTCATAGGTGAGTTTTTTTCTTTAGAGAAAACTCTTTCCTTAAGAAGGAAGCATTCCTTAAAGAGCATCATTTGACTTGAAATTCCAAACAGTCAGATCATTATTATTATTATTATTATTTTAAAGATTTTTTGGGGGGAATTGGGGAAGGGGAACATCCAAGTTGTTGTCTTTCAGTCTTAGCTGTGGAGGGCGCAGCTAGCTCAGCTCCAAGTCCAGTCGCCATCCAGCCGCCTGTCAGCAGCTCAGGGCAGCTCAGCTCAAGATGCCATGTTCAATCTTAGTTGCGGGTGGGCATAGCCCACCATCCCATGCGGGAGTCGAACCAGCAACCTTGTTGTTAGGAGCAGGTGAGCCATTCTGCCACCTGTTGGCAGGTCAGTGGCAGCTCAGCTCGGGCGCAGCTCACTGGCCTATGTGGGAATCGAACCGGCGACCCTGTTGCTCAGAGCTCATGCTCTTAACCAACTGAGCCATTTGGCTGGCGCAGTCAGATTATTTTGATATTTTTGGTATACAGTGCCTATGAAAAGGTATTTTTACTTTAAACAAGGTATCCCTGGGAGGAACATTTTTCTTTAGCTTTTGTTTTGTTGGCCACAATTTAGAGGTCAATGTCCTTCTTGGGAATACTATCAAACTCTTATTTTAGAAAGATTAATGGACCAGATATCTGGAGTTCTGTCAATCCAGTTACCAGTACAGCTTTAGGCCCTGCCTCTTACTGCTCAGGTGTGGGCATAAGAGCTCATGATGTGTAAGGTCTTTTTCTCCCACTAATTCTGAGATTCCATGGAAACTAAGAAAGGGACTAACATTATTCCAGCTTCAAGGGGCCTCCTAGTGTGTCAGGGGACCTTTGAGGACAGAATGTTGAGATTGGACTAAGAGAGTCATCAAAGCAATTAGAAATAAAGGAGGCTTTAATCTCGGAAGCCAATTATGAATTTCTTAGCTGGACACGGACTCCACAAAAGGCAGGCTGGCCACGAGTCCAGATGCCAGGCCTTTTCCTGTTGCTGTGTTCCCTTGAGGTCTGCTCAACATTACAGATTATGCCAGCACAAAGCTAAGCGATGGCAGAGTTTTGTGGATCGATAAGATGAAACTTGATCTGTGGGTCAGCGAGGCTCCTCAGGCTCCTCTTTCTAAGAGAACCTTATGTTTATGGCCTAGCATCAGATACTTCATATCTTGCTTGTATGTAGAGCATCTTGTGTTTATCATTAAAATTTTATCTGGTGGTTACGATGCTTGTTTTCTGGGTCAGATCTTGAATCCCTTTTCATTTGAGACAGCGGTGTTTGTGGTTACCTCATTCCCAATCAATGTTGTATTCACCAGGCTTTCTACAGTTATGTATCTCCAAGGAGCTTCTTAAAGAGACAGTGGCCACCTCATCATTTCTTTCTCTTCTGCTGATCTTGCGTTTCTTATTTGTCTTCTTCCCTTTGGTTCGCTCTCCTTTTCTTTACACAAGTGGAATTGAATGTTGTATAGCTAGAGCTAAATTATATAACATTTTTGCATTTAAACCTATTAAATATATTTCATATAATTGACAGAGAGCAAAGGCTCTTGGGAAATCTCTTGCTTCTTTCCATCTTTTTAATCCTCTGTGTAAATGTTCCTGATGTAAAGTCATGTTGCTTAGGCCTAGACTAATTTTTATTACATTTTGTCTTACGATTGACCCAGTCTTGGTTCTTCTGTATTCTTCTTTTCACACAGACTCAGAGTAACCTTCAAATACTCATCCACTAATAAACTCACCTGAGACACTCTGGTGCCTGTCAGGTGGACAGGACCTGGCCCCTGCTTATTCGAGGCTTGTTTTTCCAGCAGAGGAAACATGTCATTCTCAAAGCTTCGATCTTTCACACTGTGGCCCATGCATCTTTGCTTCCCTTACCATCTCATGGATGATGATTTCCGGTTACCTTTTCTGGACTTTCCAGGCCCTTTGAAATTTGTTTCCAACCCGCCTTTCTCCTCGTTACTCTCCTTGGAATGCCTTTCAGTTTTCTCCATACTGTTCTTCTCAGTTACCTCTGAGCACATCTCTTTTTAAGTTGAAATGTAATTTACATACCATAAAATTCACCCTTCTAAATTGTATGCCACTGATTTGTACACTGTTCATAAGGTCGTGTAGTCATCCACCATTATCTTAATTCCAGAACATTTTCATCACCCCCAAAAGAAACCCAGTCCCCATTCTTTAAGGCCCAACTTGAGTCTTGTCCTCCCCACAGGGGTGTGCAGCACTCTAGCCTATGAACCCCTGCGACCCACACTAACGCCCACCCTTGTCATAGCGCCTGCAGCTTGTCCGGCAGCTAATCGTGTGGCCTCACAGCTTCACCCCAACATTTTTGGCTTATATTGTTATTTAACTTTACAGCCATGCATTTTCTTTCTAGTTTGTAAGCACCTTTTAAAACTGGAGGTGGTACGTAATATTTCATTAAATGCCCATAGTGCTTATAGATGGTTTTGCCTGAAATAAGCATTAAAATTTAATAACACAGATTGCCCCTCCTCCCATCTGTACACTGCATTATGTGGGAAACCAGAGAAATACCTACTTTCTCTTCTGTGTTCTCTGATTTCTTATTTTTTTCAACTTATACAGTTTTTGTTTTTGTTTTAATATTTTATTGGGGAGTTGCGGGAGGAGAACAGTGTTGGGGAATTGGGGAAGAGGAACAGTCAAGTTGTTGTTCTTCATTCTTAGTTGTGGAGGGCGCAGCAAGCTCAGCTCCAAGTCCAGTCGTGCCGCTGTGTTCAATTAGTTGCAGGTGGGTGTAGCTACCATCCCATGCAGGAATTGAACCGGCAGCCTTGTTGGTAAAAGCGCGCACTCTCACCAGCTGAGCCATCAGGTGGCAGCTCAGCTCAAGGTGCCAAGTTCAGTCTTTGTTGCGGGTGGGCGTAGCCACCATCCCATGCAGGAGTCGAACTGGCAGCCTTGTTGGTAAGAGCGCACGCTCTCACCAGCTGAGCCATCCTGCCACCTATTAGCAGCTCAGCGGGAGCTCAGCTCAGATGCAGCTCACTGGCCCATGTAGGAATCGAACCAGTGACCCTGTTGCTCAGAGCTCACACCCTTGAGCAAGCTCTTACCAACTGAGCCACTTGGCCAGCCCCTAGAATCATACAGTTTTAAATCTGGAAGGAACTTTATAGGTTATCTGTTCCAAAACACTTGTTTTGGGTAGGAAACTGAGGCCCAGAGACATCTGATGAGCCAGGACTGGCCCCGCTCCGCTGGACTCCGACAGCGTCCACACGAAGAGCTGGGCACCAGGGCTTCCTTCTCCAGCCCTCATTCGCCGCTCTCATAGCTCGTCTCTTCCAGTGTCATTTTGGTTTTGCTTTTATGGCATGCATCTTTCTTTTCTGTTAAAAATAAAAGCAGCAGTGAAACCATGTTGTTTTTGCTAAACTGTTAGAAAGTGGAGATGAGAAAGCCACCTACATCCTCGCGTGCCAACACAACCCCTGTTACGGGTTTTAGTGGGTGTGGTTTATTTTTCAGTAGGTTTTGTTTTTTGTGTTTTGTTTTTTTAATGCTCATACTATAATCATAGCCTACATTACATTTTTGGTCTTTTTTCCACCTCACTAAACTGATGGGATTTTTTTCCATGTCATTACATACTTTTCATTACTTTCTTTGATTTGTTGCAAAAGCTCCAAGGATATAATTATATCCTAATTTTCTTATTCTTTTCTCTAGTAATGGACATTAAAGTCTTTTCCTGTGTTTTGTTATTACATAACATGAATATTTTCTGTATAGAGGTTTACAGACTTTTTTCCCTTTTTTGTACTACAAATCTTTATTAAAAAATAATAAAACACATATTTATTGTAGAAACTGTGAATTCCACATAAGTGCGTAGCATGGAGTTAAACTTCTTCCATTGTCCTTCCTTAGTCTAATTATTTTCCTAGGCTAGATTCCCATAAGAGGAATTACTGGATTTAGGAGAAGTAATTTTTAGACTTTCCAGGTTAAGAAATTATTTTAAAGTGCCTTCATAACCTTCGACTTCGTTCCAGTTTAACTTTTTGGTCTGAAGTCTTCAAACCACCCCTCCAGCCTGCTCTCCTGAATACTCATTCCTTCTTCCTATTGGTCCCAGTAATAACAGCACACCTTTCTACTTGACCATCCACAACTTAACCTCCTGCAGTCTGACTTC